AGAAAGAAAGAAAGAGGGAGGGAGGGAGGGAGGGAGGGAGGAAGGAAAAGAAAAAAGAAAAAAGAAAAAAGAAAAGAAAAGAAAAGAAAAGAAAAGAAAAGAAAAGTTGGACCAATTCATGGAAGTCACGGGATCAACAGTCCTGATGGCCGTGTCTCTGCCTCTGAAGGCCATCTGCTAGGAGACTAGTGGGCTTCCTTGTCCAGTTGGTTGGCCTCTGTGAGAACAGACTGCTGGACTAGATGGGCCAAGAGTCTGATCCAACAGGCACTGCTTATGTTCTTCAATTCTAAAAAATCAGCTTAGAAAAGTAGCATAGATTCTTTCCTGCTCTTTTCTGAAGCTTTTAATCATTTCTCTATAGGCCTTCCTGAAAAAGACAGACGAGAAGAGAAGCTACCAACAAGCTACTGTAAAAGAAAAGGACACCGTGTGGGAGAGTCAGATTGACAGCTACAGTTTCCTGAGCAGGAAAGTCAACAACCACAAGTTTTCTAGCCCCAGTCTTGACAAGTGCAAAGCGAGGTGTCTGTATAGTCCTGGGAAAAGGGAAATACCAGTGGCTATAAGAAGGGGCTGCAGACTCATGTTAATAGAAGGCAATCAGTGGATTGGGTGGCTTTATTCTAGTAATTCATAAAAATACTTATAACCGTGCTGGGTCTAATGTCTGGATAACTTGTGCTCACTTCAAGCCAGGGAGCCTTAACACTGTTTATGTGCATGTGTTTGTACAATACAGGAGCATCTGCAGGTTGGTATCGAAATTGTCAAGATGGCAGACAGAATGTCATGATGCAGATTCCATCCCTGCACACACAAAAGGCATGGGGCATGCACCTCCCCCACCCCATGGGTCTTCTTGGGTGGTTTAGAGAGAGAAAGTATATGAGAAAAAAAGGAACACCCAGAAGGACTGAAATGTAGCAAGCTGAAAGAAGGCCCTCATTCTCTTAAACTCCAAAAGGGCAGATCCATAATTCTAAGGTCACCTAATTGTGCGCATAAGGATTCTGGTAAAGTCTCACAAGGGCAGCCAAGCTTGTGTCCTTGCTCATATTGGATATCTCCCCTCCCCCTTTCCTGAGCTTGATTTCCTTTAAGGTCTCCTACCTACCTCAAGAGCTGTTCTGAACTGCCCAGCTGCCATGGCATATTTCTTCTGTCTGTAGCAAGTGCTTGCATCTTTCAAGGATACCTGAAGCCACTTGTCCATCTGTGGCAGAAGACTCATGTTAGCTGTTCCTTGGCTATCTGTGCTTCCAGCCTCTGGGCACTTGGGTTGTGTGCAGCTGGAACTCTGAGATTCCAGGAACTCATAAGAAACGTTCTCTTCATCAGTGTAGATCAACTTCATTTCTACCTCTACAAGGCTCTTCAAGGGGATATGGGACAGCAACATTGTGGCAACTGGGTTCTCTGGTTCCAGCAGGCGCAGCTCTTTTCTCACCACTGGCTTCTCATCACTCTCTGTCTTACGTTTAAGGCCCAGTCTCTCTAAATCATTACATTGCTTTTCCTTGGCACTGCTGTTCCCTGTTTTTAGTTTCTCCATTACATTTTCTGCCATCTCTCCGCCCAAAGGGATTTTCACCTCTTGCAAGGCTTCTAGAGTATCATTCTGATGGTGGGCTGCTATTCTCAACTGCTGAACAACATACTCTTTTCGGCATGCTTCCTTCGTGATGTTCTCAAAGTGTGCGCTGTTTGCTGACTCCATGACTCACAATCCACACACGCAAATCCTGAGTAGGGAAAAGGAGGTGCAGAGATTTACCATTTGGAGTTCAGCAAACAAAACAGTGCGGAGGAAACATATTGTTCAATTTGCCCACAGATTTCAAAGGCAGCCAATCAGCCATAACAAAAAGCAGAAAAAGTTGCTTTGATTTCAGAATCATACAGTCTTTTGTATATCAGCAAATAAGTATAATGTCTCCAAAGCTTTATAAAATGTATCTTGACTTCTGCTTTTGCCCCTGATGGGATCTGCCAGGATTACATTTCCTCTTTGGAATTCCATTTATTTCTGTTCCACAGGTAGGCAGATGGTTGAGATGTGTGTGGTGCTGCTGTGTTAGTTTCAGAATGAGGAGACGTGGGCTCAAAGTAGCTGCAGTTGGGCAGCATATAAATTTAATAAATTATTTAATTAAGTTATTATGTGGCATATGTTGCTTGATTTGAGGCTTATCACCATCAGTTAGCCAAATCTAGTTGGCAGGACTGCAGCGAGGAATGAATGTGGCACTATAAAACTTGGCAAAAGGAGAGGCATATGAACTTAATATCTCTGGATCTTGAAATTGGAAGCCTATTTATCACCTTTAAGATTATTTATTACAAGTGGGAATGGAAGAGTGGGAGAATGATGCCAAGGTGGACAGTAAAGTCATTATGGTGTAGGCAGCAAAAATATTTTAGATTGTGTCTCACTTGATTTCCTGTGTTATACTATTCCCTGGACTGTAGAAGAAGTGAATTTAGAAAACTGATCTATAGCCATCAGACATGAGGGATGTGTATCAGTTCATTATGTCTTACCCACTGGATGGATGGATGGATGGATGGATGGATGGAAGGAAGGAAGGAAGGAAGGAAGGAAGGAAGGAAGGAAGGAGGGAGGGAAGATTATAAATGACATGGTATCTGGAACCCTTAAAACATTCTGTGGGTTCCTGCAGAAGACAAATATATACTTTCAGTTGAGTTCAACCTCGCTATGAGAGAACAGACAGGAAGGCCTGAGCAATGAATATAGGTTTTTGAGGACAAAGACTCCACAATAGGGGCCCATCTAGCTTCCATAGGGAGCAAATTCCACATACTGGGCTCTACTAGAGGCTGTGATACAATCAACAGAACATTCTTTCATTTATGTAAGCATCAGGCACATCCTACAGGGAAGCAGGTAATTCCTTATTCAGAATGGTCCCTGTTGGAGGGAAAATGCTTGTGCATGGGTAATAAGCATTGCTGAGTCCACGAATTAATCTTAAGTCCATGAATGATTGGTGATTAATGAAATAGACCTTATAACAGAAATGGAAAGGAAAGGAAATACATGATCAGGACGTGCACAGCCTGGCATTTAGACTAACTCTACATCCTACCAGGGGGAAAGTCAGAGAGTAAAAGCTCTCTGCCAGTATCCTTGAGAACAGAGGCAGAAGGACATGTCCCCATTTTTCTCCTTAGCATCATAAGTAGACTTCTTGACTGTTCTCCATGAAAGTGATTACATCCCACAAGCTGGTAAGGGAATCAGGCTATCAGGAGATTTTGTCTAGTTAATAGTTCCTGTTAATGAATCCTTAACCCATGACTCCAGACAAATTCTACATTAGCAGCCTAACTTCCAGTAGAGTCTCCTGTTTAGACTAATTTCAGTCCACCTGAGGGCACATGAGTGTCACCTTTTCCATGGATCCTATTGTTCATCTGATAGAGCTGTCCATGATAGAATGGAGTGCTTCCTTAACTGTGTTCAGGGATGTGTGAGATTTTGTCCATATATAACCATGCCTCCATTAATGATTTACACACTCGAAGTTGCAGATTGGTGCGTGCAGTTTATAAAGGCAAACAAATATGAACACCTTCTAAGGAACAACTAGTAGCAATTAAACAAACAAAGCTATTTTCCCCCTAGTTTTTTAAACCTACCCATTCTTTCTTTTGTGAAAAGTTTAGCATAAATTTGCATTGCTTGCCAGTGATGGGTTACTGAAAACATTAACTCTAGTTATAACCCCTCCCAGTTTTTAAAATTTTTTTTAAAAGAATGTTTCCTTTTTACCTAAAGAACATAATGCATCAGAAATGAAAGGCGGAGATGGCCAAACATCATTTACAGAAAGCATTATTTGCAAACAGCAATTTCTTTCAAATTGACTTTGTGTGTTTTGAAAAGTGCCTTTATTTGATGGATTCAATTGAGCTGTCTGATCTCTGTGTTTTTCCGATTATTCCCTTCCCTTCCCTTCCCTTCCCTTCCCTTCCCTTCCCTTCCCTTCCCTTCCCTTCCCCCTTTTTTCCGTTTTCCTTTCTTTGGTTAGATGGACAATGAAAGGTCAGAAAAAATGACAAACTCAATGGCACGTTCTTTCAGAATGAAAAGAGACATGCCTGAAAAGAGAAGCCATTTTAAATGGGGTGGAGAAAGAAAATCATGCTGTCATATTCCTGCCTGTTACCAGGACCTAATCTTAGCTCCAACATGTGCAATTCTTGAGGGGTGCTAAGGGGAGAAGGAACTTTCTAAGGAGAAAAATATAAAGCATTTCCAGACTCCAGGCTGCACGTGGCTCTGCGTTCTGCTGCTATTTTGTTCCACCTCACGTGTAGTTTTGTTTTCAGAGTATTTTCTATATCACTAAAGAGCAGGGTGATATTAAAACAGCTTCTGCAGCTCAGTCACGCTGACACTTCTGGCCTTATTGTAAAACTGGGTTAACAAGAATGACCCTGTTTCAGTCATTGTCATTTGACCCTTCTTATTTTTAAGTTACTCTTTAAAAAATGCTTTTCTTACTTAAAATGATGTGCCACATGCTTCTTGAGGCTGGCAGCAAGATTAGATGACTTGTACTGTGGGGAATATTATTTCTGAGAGTCCCTTACAAAAAAACAAAAAAAACAAAAAAAACCCTCTTTCAAAATATTCCTTTTTGGGGTGGGGAAGAGAGAAAGTCTGGGGGAAACCTCCCAGAAAAAAAAAATGCTTTCCCATATTTTAATGACAGTTTTTTTGATGCCTGGACTTCTTTATCCATATCTTTTATCTTCAAAGTTGGGTAGACACATGGATGATACTGCAGGCAATTCAAAATGGTTGTGATAAAAATATATTGCCACTTTTCATTATTAGCTATCAGAACTAAATCTATTATCTTTTTTTTTTCAGGGAAAAAAATTCAAGCAGAATTCAAGAGGAATCTATTATAGCAGCAATGGGCAAATAATTCAGGATGCTTATTAAGGTCCATCTCTATATATTAGTTGACTCAAATAGGGCAACCAACATTGCATATATTTGAATATTTATTTTGGGAAGATACATAGGAATAAAAGTATATTGAGGAAATTGTATATTTGAGAAAATTGCATTCAGAGTGTACAGTAGAGTACTTATAAGCCAAAATTCATTTATTCAGACAGCTCTATAAATGCCCAACCAGGAAAGATGTCTATAAAATGTATTAATACTGGGGATTTTGATTTTAAAAAATTGGCAGAAAATGTAACAGAATGCACTAATTGTTCAGTAATACCACATAGATGTAAGCCAGAGCTAGAGTGATCATTTACACTCTATCAAACATTCACTGTCTGTTTCTTTGTGAAAAGCCAAGTTTTCAAGCAGCTGTTGCTCTACCTTGAAAAAATTGATCTCTACTGCATTGCCAGAACTGCTTTGTTCTGTTTACTCTGAAACTACTGCCGATCAACTGAATTGGATTATTGATTTTTATTTTAGTTTATTTCTTTCACTGGGGGAGAAATCTTATAATGGAACTGTTGCCCAACGGCCTCTCCATAGTGAATGTTTTTCCCTGAAGCCCCTGGCCTGATCCAACTCATTTTCTAACCTGATCTTTCTTTTGCCAGCTTCTCCTCCCATGCCAAATTTGGTCCTGTTCGCTTTAATTTTTGTAGAGATATTCTACTGATGGCTAGACAGACAGAGTCTTAAGCATCTCTGCACAATTTCTTTCCAACCTTCCTTTGGATTGGAAAGAATAGCAAAGCAGATTCTGTGCTTGGAATCATTAGGGAGGGAATTGAAAGTAGAACTGCTGATATAGTGATGTGGAGTCCTTGGGGTTCTCTGAGCTTGGTTGTTTTCTTGCAAACGTTTCGTTACCCGGCTAGGTAACATCTTCAGTGCTAGAATGGGAATGGGGTTTGCTCTCTGTTTATATACTGTGGCATCCCCTGCCAGTGTTGGTGTTGGTGGGGGTTTTGTTTTCTTTTGTTTTTTTTTCTCCAGTAGTTCCTTGATTAGGGTATTGTTTACTGCTTGATATAGCGAAGTTTTTATGTAAATCTAGGGTGGAAACCACTATTGGAGTGTTTTTTGGCCACTACACCATCAGAAGGTTATTATAAGTTTATTATAAAATTGTAAAAGGGAGAAAATGGCAACAAGGCTTGAGCTGTCCCTCTCATAGGAAAGTCTATAGCATTTGGGGCTCTTCAAGTTAGAATGAACGAAGGTGAGTGGAGACAAGATAGAGGTGTATAAAATCATGCATGACATACATAATGAGGAGAGAAAGCTCCCCCACCCTCAAAATGTTAGAACTCAAGGTCATCTTTTAAAATAATAGGCATGGAAATTCAGGGCAGATAGAAAGTTTTTTGGTTTTTTTTTTTTAACAGGATATAGTTAAACTGTGAAATTTGCTGCCAGCAGTTGTGATAGATGGTTTTCAAAGGGTCTGGACAGGTTTATGGAAGATCAGGCTATCAGTGGCTGCTAACAGTGATGTCATTTTGGTTCCTGATTGCTGGACGGTGACAGCAAAAGGGGGCTACTGTTCTCCTGTCTGTACTTACAAGATTCCCAAGTACATCTGGATGGCTACAGTGTGATGCAGAATGCTAGAACAGATAAGTCTATGACCTGGTCTCATAGAACTCTTCTGATATTCCTATAAATCAGTAAGTCTGTCTGAGAGATAATCATAGGGAAGGTTTCTGTTCCATACAATGCTC